ATGTCTTTACATGAATATGGCCTTGGAGACACTGTAAACACTTCCCTTCAAGTCTCTCTTCTTCTTCTTCTTCTTCTATCCTTCAAAGCCCATTCCCACCAATGGTAATTATATTTGTGTAGTATTCTAAGAGGTGCTAATGAATCTAGACTGAAATTCTTAACAGTCAATAATCATCAACAAACCCACCCTAACTCCCAAACCAATTATTCCTGCTAATCTAAACTCTTAAAACCCAAATGCTTGGGAAACCAAATAGGTCACCTTTAACAATTCGTATATACATTGTAGAGGTCAAAGAGGCAAAGATAAAAAAAAAAAAATAGAGGTCAACTTGAAATAACTTGTAAAACATCAAGCCAAAATCATAATAAATGAAAAGGAACATGCATTTATTCCAATTAAAGCTTCTTAGTTTTCTTAGCACGAAGTTTTCTTACTTCTTTGGTAAGATTTACTTTCAAGGCTTAAATATGGTTTTAGTCATCACATTTTAGTGAATTTTTGGTTTTTGTTCCTTCAAATATTTTTTTTGTTTAAGTCCTTATTTTTTTCACAAATTTTTCTTTTGAGTCTCTATTGCTAATTTGGTCCACTAAGATGTTGCCAAATGTTAGTTTTCAATTAGACACGTCAACTAGAAGGACCTAAAACAATAATATGCTAAAATATAGGGACCAAAACCAAAAATATTAATTTAGAGGGACCAAAACCACAAAATCAAAAAGTTCACTAAAATGTAGGGACTAAAAATATATTTAATCCCTTTTGTAATTTTCATGCAAGTTTTCTATTTGTATGCTGAAATGCTTGTAAGCCAAAACAAAAAATAGCAGTCATACAACAGAATATAATCTATTTCAGTTGAATCGAAGAACATCAGACGCAGTTACTACCTAAAGCAGAAAGACTCTGGATAAATAGATCCTGTGAATTTCCAGGATCCGGCTTCAATATCACCTGAGATCATAAAGCAACCAAGAATTCAGCAGTAGAAATGAAAACAAATTACACCTAAAAAATCAATCTAATAACTCTAAATTCCAAACTCAATGACAAATGACAATATTAAAATTGACCTGAAATTGAGTGTGTCTTTGGAGCCTATTTGGGTTTTCTCCGTATCGACTATCATCAGGGCGGATGCTAGGTTCCACATACCTTTCATCACAAAAATGAAAAAACACCATGAATTTCCAATCCAAAATCCTCACAGTCTGCATTCATCGTGAACACAACTAAACCCAACAAAAATTAATAAACAAAAAATTACAAACAAATACCATCCATAAAACTCAAGAAGGATTAGAAGCAAAAGCTTTTCTGATAAAAGAAACAACCTTCTAATACAATACAATTATCAATAACAGAACTCAGTAACCAGTATCTGCACTCTTACAGCTTTCTGATCCTACCACTGAACATAAGTATAGACATGTACACTTGTAAATTCATTAATCTCCAAAAATTTTCTTTGATCGAAGGAAACACGATTAGTAAACTAAAAACTTACATCTAAAACATACTTACGCAACATTCCACGGTTCAGGACCAAGCACCCTTAAATACGTAAGAGGATTCATAGTACCAGCTCCAACCTGCTCAATTTAGCCAAAAACAACAATGTATCAATCAGAAGAAAAAGAAGATAAATTGAACGGAGAAATGGCAATGCAGCAAGTTGATTCAATTACCTCTGTGTTGCTGCATTGCATTATGGAACATCCCACGGAAGCCCAATATTCCTGCAAATTTCAATATCAATTAAAAAAAAACACAACGACCGAATTTTTTAAATCATTTAAAATTTTAAAAAAGGAGAAAAAGCGAGGGTTATGCAATTTGGTAGTTGTTATGACCTGAAGACGCTGAATGGCTTGCTGAAAGGTGAGGATTGACGAATTTAGAGAACGAGTGTCGGAGCGGTCAGAAGAAGAAGAAGAAGAAGAGTGGTGTGAGAGAGAAGGAGAAGGAGTGGTGGTTGCGGAGACGGCGGTGGTGAATTGGCGGCGGTGGCGGAGGAGTGAGTGTGAGGGGCGGAGGCGAGTGGTGGTGTTTGGTCTGAGAACGGAGAAGACCACTAGTGGCAACGTAAGAATTCCCATAACTCCACAGTTACTTCTTCCACGAATGGGAATGGGGGATAAGATAGGGTTTATGTTTAGCCTTTTCATTTCTTTCAATCCTCTCAAAACTCACATCACTGTCAGGTCACTGATGAATGTGAGGAGAGCAAATCTGGTCACAACAGAAATTTTAGAACATTCTCCTTAATTAATTCTGAATTATTATAAATATCACTTTTAAATAATTATTTTATAAAAATTAATAACTTTAAAAAAATACGACAATCTTTAATTGAATAGTAATAATATAAAATATTAATTTAAAAGATTAGGTTATAACAGCAAAGATTAAAATTTATATATATTAATGTTTTTAACCTTTGGTAGAAATATTTTTTCGGCAATAAAAATTTATTTAAAAATAATATTATTAAATAAATACTTATAATATAAACAAATTATAAAATAAATTATTTCAATAAAAGATAAATTCTTGCCAACAAACGTATGCGTATAACAAAAGATATTATAGTTTTTCATTTGATGAAAAAATTATTTAATATAATTTATGACTAAAATATAAAGTTAATCCAGCAAAATAATAGACATAAGACTTTGCAATATTTTGATAATTTTTTTATATTTTTTAAAAACGTCTTCTAATATAAATAATTGATAAAAATAATTTTTTTTAATTTAGTAAATTATAATTATACTTGCAATGCATGTATTGCACATAAAAATACTATTTTAAAATAAAAATAAAAATTAAATTTAGATATTATTAATAAAATAATGTAACAATATATAATTATAAAATTTATAAAATATTTAAAATATATCTATTACTTATCATTTACTTTATGATTTAAATTAGTATAATTTATTTTTAAAATATTTATGAAAAATAAATATTTTTATATATATTATATATAAATATATTTTTAATACATTATTAAAAAATTCTATTCACATTAATCATATAATAATTAAATTATATTAGTTAGATATAAAAAATGGTAAATAATTTTTATTAAAAATATAAAAAATAAAAAGTTTTATAGTTTATTTTACTAATAAATATATTTTTATACTGACATTATAAAATAATTATTTATATATAATATAAATTTTTTTCATCTATTCTTGTTTCTTTTTCTTTTTTTTTAACAAAACTGAATATCAAACTTTGAGTTCTTTCATATTCAAATCTATTAAAGGGCTATTAACCAAGTTATTAAAACAAAAATCTACCTTTTTCTTAAACTATTAACTTGCATCTTGTATTTTATGTAAGATACCTCTTCAGAGAATAAATCACGATATTGAAAAAATATCCTTAGCCTTAAATCACTGTATATAGAGAATAAAAGGGAAGTTTTTATGAAAAGACACAAGATTATTTAATCAAAAAAGCACATTAAAAAAATGATAAACAACTATCCATCTTGTCACCTGGAATGACATGAATGTCTCTCTTGTATAGACACAAGGAAGGAAGAGAAATGAGAACAAAAAGAAAAAATAAAATTTATATTTGCTAAAATCAAAATGATACTCTTAAAAAGGCTTGTTTATGTTGACTAGCAAGCAACTTTTTATTATGGTTTTGATGCCATACATATGCAGTAAAGAAACAAAGAGAAGAGGGGCAAAGAGACACAACCAAACAAATGCCAAAATCGTACCTGTGTATTTTATCATATGCTTCAACATCCTTGCAAACCTGCTTTTAGGGTCTGTGGAACTTTCTACATGGGATATTCATTGATCTTGCAGGAAAGAGTTTGTTATCTTTTAGGAAGTAGCTTGCCATCAAACTTTAACCAATTTCAAAATCTGATCTTTCTTATTTTCTTTGTCATCCATGATGTCTCTTGACGATCCTACACTTTATGTAATCCATATGCAAATTCAAATTCAATGTTACAAATGTCTTTGTGAATGTGGAGTCTCAATGCTGAATATCTAATAAATTTTTACTGTCTACTCCTGTTATGTTACTTAGATTACTATGAAGTGACGCAGACAGTAAAATTTTATTAGCTGAAAGAAGGTAAAGAGATGCTTCTTATTTTAAATGAATTCCACTACAACAGTCCATGTTGAAAATGAAAAGAATAATAAATGATCTTGTTATTCGTTTTTTATAATTTAAAAATAAAAAATTTGAAATAAAATAAAGTTTCTAAAAATAGAAAAAGTAAATATATATATATATATATATATATATATATATATACACACTTAAATATTATTAAAACTTTTAGACCATTTAAAAAATCTAATAAAAAAATTATTGAAGTATAAACAAGTGTGATCATCATATAACATTCCATGGTAAGCCAAGTTTTATAATCTTTAGTATAACCTGTATTTTCTCCTTCTCTCATGGTATTTAAAACATAATCTTTCAGATTTTTAAAAAGATAAAAGTTATCCCATCCTTTAACTACATATTTGAATCAAAATATATGCTAGCTCTTTACTAAGCAAGCCATTTGAAAGTATCTTTGTTTACCAATCTTCTAATGATGATAATATCTCTCTCCATTGCAAATTATCGAAGTAATGTTAAGAGGGCAATGTAAAGAAGCTGGTTGAGTTGTGGGATTATTAAGATGTAACAATGTAACATGAAAAAATAATTATTGAAAATTTTATTCAAATAAAATTTAAATTCTGTCTAAGTTACGAAGATGATTTAGTCTGAAAGTAATATTATTCCCTTTCACTTTACATGTGAACATTTTTCACTTTTTAAGAGATGAAATGAAATAAATTATAACACTTTTATAAACTAATTTTAATAATTTTTGGATTTGGACCAAGTCAAAAGATTTTCTAACTATGGGAGACCAAATCAAAGTTTTATTCAGAATAAAAAAACCATAAAAGACATCTTGGTATAACATCCCTTCTTGTCTCACAATCTAACACGAAAAAGAAAAAAAGAGACAGAGGGAATGGCCAAGGAAGAAGAAGTGGTGGCTGAAGTGGAAGCTGTAGAAGCCGTATATGGAAGCGATTGCGTGGTTGTGCGTTCCTTCCCTCCCCATTTTCACATCTCTCTCAAACCCAGAACCGCAGATGTTTCCTCTCAACAGGTCTTCTCCTTTTCCTTTCATTCAATTTCCCCATCCACCCATTGCAAATTGCAATTCTCCTTTTATTCCACCAACCCAATAAGAAACACTTGCATATCAAATTCTCGATGCAATTTCATTATCTAGAGTTAAATGAATTTAATAATGATTTTTTCTTTATTTTGCAGTTTGTAGAAGCTGTTCTGGAGATACGAGCAAGCCAACAGGTATGTTTTGAGAGCGTTAGGAATACACTTTCTAATATATTATTTTTAATACACTCATAGTTAATAGCTAAATATTTTTGAAAATTACAAAATTAGGAGAGAGGGTCGTTGAATTAGGAGTAGATATTACTAAGTTAAGAGTGAAAATTATATGATTTTTGTGTTTTTTAATAAATTTCAGTCCATAACTGATAAAGTGTTGAAAGTGTGTTGCTAGCATTTTCCCTTAAATTGAGTGGATTTGTGGAGGGACGGGGGTTTTCTTTAGTTTATTCAGTTTTTCTTTTGTGTGCCCAAGAACACACAATAATAATATATGTATGATATATTTTTATTGGAAATCACATATCCATTGAATTCAATGGCATTGATAGTATTAACTGCTATAATGTTCAATAAAAATTTCCTATTTATTGATTTCTTATTATGTGCCCTTGGGTATATATTAGAAAATCTGTTGTCTATGTTCTCATTTTCATGGAGCATTTGTTATGGTCTTTGCTCTTGGTATTTTCTACTATTTGTTTCAATGAATTTCTTCTTTTATCGAAAAAGAAGAGAATAAAGTTAGTTGGTTGCCTTAAAATAATGTAACTTAGGATATTAACTTTTGTCTCTTTCTTGTGATAGTATCCAAAAGAACCACCTCATCTCAATCTTGTGGATTGCAAGGGTCTGGATGAACTGAGACAGAAGCATTTATTAAATTATATACAAAGTAAAACCTACGAGCTTGCCCCTTGTTTAATGCTCGTAGCTCTCTGCGAGGTAACAGCTGCTGCTGCTGCATAGTTTTGTATGATAACACTGATGGTTTCACTTTGTATCTGTACGCCCCTTGTTTGGTTTCCAAAGGAGCTAAGAAGACAAAAAATAATTAACCATTGTCTCGCTGATTAATCTTCTGTAACTGCAGACTCATTCATTAGAAATAACTTCATGCAATTTTCCGTTTTTATGTTTCTGTTGGTAACACATTATTATTTTCCTTTATACTTTCTAATATAGCTTTAGGTAACATGAAAATAGTGGAGCCAGAAAATAGATGTAGGAAATCAAATATTGACTTCTGTGCAATAATGATTTATAATGGATTATTGAAATGCATTTGAAGGAAGCAGTAGAGAAACTCTCAGCTATGAATCATCCTGATGGTGATTGTCCATTGTGTTTATTCCCTTTGGTCCCCGAAGATCAGCAAAGTGAAACCTTGCCTTTCATGAAGTTGATGTCTTGTTTTCATTGTTTTCACAGGTTGGTACTGATTAATTTCATCTTTGTGATTATGTTAATTACATTAGCTTTTTAGAAGTTTTATGAAGTTAATATTATCTTGGTTTATCATTACACTTACATTTCTACCCTCCCATTTTTTATTTTTGTATAATTGGCAGTGAATGTATCATTAGATGGTGGAATTGGCTTCAAAAGTCTAAAGAAACAGACTCTACCAATTCAGATAATGCAACTGTACGTCCTAACCAAGGTGTGGATAATTGTAGGGTTACTTTTGACCACAAGTTTAAATGTTGTTTTCAATATGAAACTATTTTTTTTGTATGAACAAAGCATAGAAGCTTGGAAGGATAATATAGTGTTAGAAAATCCTCGTAAGACAGGGTTGGCTTCTAAAGTAGATTAATGATTTTCAGATTCACTTTGGGTTTAATGAACAGTGCCTTAATTCAAGTAAATACTAGTCTAAAATATTTATCGATAAGGATCTTGGTAAACAGGCAGAAACCCATCACAATTGCTTGAGATTGTGTATCAATAGTCATTGGCAACTATAGCTTCAGAAGAGAAGCTTCATTGACAGCCTAAAAATTTAACATAATTAATGAGAAGCTGTTACTTTAGTTGTGTAGTTTTGAATGAACATGACAAAAATTGTGTAGAGTGTAGGCCATGATATCAAGATTTGTTGCAATATGCATTGGGGCTGTATTATTGGCGGATATATTTGTGTTTAGCACAATCATATATATTTTTCTTATAGGACTCCATAACAAATTTTCATTGTTGCTAATACTAAGATGTGCAGCGTGCACAGAGTTCCCTGTAGTAATATAATGTTCTTACAGTTAATGCGATATTAAGATTTCATATTGAAATGGAGTAAACAAAGATTGTTTAAAAGAAACAAGAAATGTAATTCTCATACTCAACAATAATAACAACTAAAAACAAAAGCCTTATGTTGTTGCATAGATTGTAGAGTAGGATAAATTGAATGTATCAAAGTTGCCTTTCTGTTATGTCCAGAACCAAAATCGCATGAACATAAAAGCCTTTATTTTAGATCAAAGACTTTTTTAATGGTTTTTGTCAGTTTTCGTCAGTCTTCTACCTGTGTCTATCTGGCTATCCTCTATATGATACTCTTCTTGATGGAGTCTTTATTGATTTCTCCTCTGATGACCGAACCATCTTAGGCTAGATTCTATTATCTTTCCTTTATTGTGGCTACTCAAAACTTTTTCTCCAATATGTTGATTCTTGATCTTATCTTTTCTTGTTTGCCTACCCTTCCACCACAAAGCTATCATCTTTGCAATATTTAGCCAATGCTCTTTTTGGCACTTTACTTTCCAGTAACATTCAAAGCCATGAAGTGAAACATTGCTGGTCTTATGGCTTTTAGGTTAAATTTTCCTCTTTTAGCCTAAGAGGCACCTTCCTGTCATAAATGACACTAATGGCATGTTTGATTTTCTAAAAGATAAAGGAATGGACAACACAATAGAACTTGTTCCATGTTTGATTTTAAAAAAGGGTCATTGAACTGATAAACAGAAGATTAAATACAAGACAAAAGTTTAATTATTTCATGCCTAGTAATTTAGATGACGAACACTTGTCTGATGCACAACACGAAAAGTAAAAAATATCAATCATCACTACCAATGGCAATACAGAACAACTGAACAACTAGAAAACCCAATTGGGCTGATACTGGGCACAACCTCTTCTCCACCTCCTAAACTTATTGTGTTGTGCATTGACCATCAAACACCAAATAGAATAAAAATTTGTGTTGTGACTTAACTGCTTGTACCATGCTGTTAAGTTTGTTTGGTGCATCAAGCACACTTCTAAAGCATTTCTCCATTTCATCCATTTGAGTTGAATCCTATGATTAACATCTCTATTAATATCTATAACTTTTTATGATAGATCCAAGATATTGAAAACTGCACCTTGTGGCATGATATGATATTTAGTTTAATTAAGTGTTTAGTGCCTATAAAACTTTTTGTTAGGATATAGTCCTTACTTTTTCACAAACTATATTTTTAGTCCATTTAGCTGATGTGATTCGACCAAAAGCTGACAATTGGCAGCATCTCAATGGATCACCACTAGTTAGAGAAACTAAAAACAATAGTTTATGAAAAAGTAGGAAGTATATCCTAACCAAAAAATTTATAGGGACTAAATCCAAATTGTGCAACTTTTAACTGGTTTAGAAGTTTAAGAGGATAGAATCTGCAAGAAAATGAGAGAAGGTTTGAGAAAATTGAGATATTGAGGGTATGAATGCTTATTGTATTAATGTGATTTATGAGCTTAATCCATCTTTTCCACCAACTACAACTAGCGAGAAGAAAGTTTGCTTGATGTGCTGCTCCTTCATTTTTTTTAGGTTCGCAATCCTACCTTTATTGACTGTTTTCTTCCTGTTAGTTTATGAATTTTTACTTCAAATATTTCATTTAGGTTCAAATGACTCTGCTTCTTACTCGGGGATCCATTCTATAATCATTTTAAATATCCAAAATATAATGTTGCAGTGTAGGGGTTTGTATTTAGTTAACATAGTAGCATCTATTTTATTCTCGTGTGGAGAACTTGTCTCTTTTGTCACGCATTAATTCATTCCTAATGAATACCATTGCGATTCATAAGAACATATTCCTAAGGAATTTCAGTTTTTTCTTATCAGATAATCATAAAAAAATGGAAGAGAGTATCGGAAACTGCCCAGTCTGCCGCAAGCCTTTTCTTGCCAAGGATTTGGACCATGTACTTGACCTAGTCGGCTCGCATCCCTCCCAATTGGTTAGTTATTTGGTCCACCACAACTGAGTAATTCCACGCTGTATTAATGCATTCCCCGCAATTGATATTACTACCAACAAATTGGTTGAATCAATATAATCATGTTTTGAACATTAGTTCCTTTTTTGCTGCTCTTGAAGTTAGTCCATGTTTTCTGTTGGAATTCAGAGCTTGGATAACGATGAAGCCAATGACGAGGAAAAGCTCCTTGAATCCAACTATGAGGTTGCAAGGAGACACAAGTTTGAAGCCATATTAAATTTACAGAAGGAGAACAGTGGTTTGATTGAACCCAAAAGAGATATAGTAATCTTGCCAGGTATGTATCTTGCACAACCAGTTGAAACGCCGAGCTCTACGTCGACCAAGGAACCTGATGAGCAGCAAGAAAAAGATCCACCTGCGGTCGTGTCAGGAAAACATGTCAGTGGGATGTCGAACGGACCTAGTTCTAGCAGGCAGAGGAATTTTGGTGCAAGGAGGCAGAAAGCAAGAAGTGATCACCACTCTACTTCAACTGTAAGAAATCCAAGAAAACCAGTTCAACAGTGGGTTAGAAGAGATAATCCTAGCAATAATCAATAAAAGTGATGTCTCTCACTTCTATAGCTCTTATTTATATGTCACATATCAATGTTTAAAAGATGCAAAACAAGATATAAATAGTAGGAAATGACACAAATAGGTGCCTCTCCCACACCCTTTTTAGTTAAAGGGGTGTTGGAGAAACAGAAGAAGCAAAGAGAGGAAAGACGTGCACATGGTGCTTGGTTTATGCAATTTCCTGTGTTGTGTTTTTTCAATTTTTGATTGCCATAATTTTCGTTTGTTTCATTTGGAAAGGTCCACAATTTTAATTTAATTTATTTTTTATTCAACAAACTAGTTATGACTTGACGTTCTGCACTCTCTCTTATTAAGCCACTTTCTCTCGATGGTATTAAGCATACTAAGACTGTTGACAACATACTTATAGATGAAGCAATATTTTAAATTTTTTTAAAATCTTGATAATTTTTTAATTTTTTTTTATCAATTTCAATATATTATTAACATAATTGAAATTTACAATAAATTAAAATGGTCCTTTTTTTTCTTTTTTTCCTCCCGTGATGCTTCTAGTTAATCTCCGTTGATTATAATGAATATGAACTCAATTTTTTATAATCTTGCTCTGTATGAGGTTGTGTGCAGCTCTATGCATTTCCTTTGTTTTTTAACTTTAATATTTTCACTTTTATTAGATACTCTTAGTAGTTAACTTTTTTAGGCAGCCTTTCACAACAAACTGCTGCTTCTTCCCTTTAATATTTACTTTGCGTAAAAGTAATTGAATACCTATTTAAGCACACGAATGCTTGTATGAGTTAAAAGACTTTCACTTATAAATATGGTGAAAAATAATTTAATATTTATTTTATTTATCTTTTATTGTAGTTTGAAATATTTTTATTTTGTGTGTTGAACTATTAGATGAATTCGTCTTTAGTCATGTGAAAAAAATTTGATAGATGTGGTTCAACATTTCTTTTTATTCTAATGGTAAATATATGATAATCATGATCTTATAAATAAAATAGCCAGTGAAGCCTATGGGTTGGTCTTTTTCCACTGGGCTACGCGCACTTTTTAGTTTTGTGCACTTCATAGCCATTTAGGCTTTAATTCATCTTGACCAAAAAAGGCTTTAGTTCATGTCAGGGTTAAGTTGAACTAAATTGATATTTTTGAGAAGAAGAGCTAAATTAACACCTCAATAGTAGAAAATTGATATAATTCAGCAATATTTCAAATATAGGCATTCAGAAATAAGTAAATAGAAACTTAACTGAGAGAGAAGAAATCCAAAGAAACTCAGGGAATAAACCGTCGCTGGGGAGGTTTCTCCCATTTCTTGTGGGTGTGGGATTCTTCTATTTTATTTATATCTATATTAAATGAGTTTTCTTTTTTTGCATTGGGAGATATTTTTCCCCCTTTTTTTATCCTTTTTTTTCTCTCTACATAACTAGACTATCATCTTCTTTTATTTTTATTTTTTTGTGTTTTCATATTCTTGTTTTTACTTCTTTTTTCTTACACATTTTTCTTGATAACGAAGCTTGTGGAGCACTTTATAATCACATCTTGTCTTTGAAGTGTTATGGTGTAGTATTACATCCATGTCATTGTCTTCATTATAAATGTGGTCTGTTTTTGGACTCTAAACTAATTTGGAAGGAGAAAAGAAAACAAAAAAGCGAAGCCCTTTCTACATCTCAAAGTTCATCTGCAAGAGAAAATTGAGATTTCTTAAGATTTATTAGAGGTTTTAATTTTGTAGGCTTTTAGAACTTTAAATTTGTTAAATTTTATACAGATTGAGCATGCATGTTTGTTTATAATTTGTTTATGTCATGTTCATTGTTGCAATACTCATATAATTTAGTATCCTTAATTCTCGTTAGATTTCTTAATACCATCATTGGACATCCTAACCACTTCATACGTTATGCACATCCTCAATATAGGAGAGTGGGACAATGGCTTTTAATTGTTGCATAGTTTTCAGTTTGGTGATGGCCTCAATATGAACTCTTTTGTATGAAAATTGGCCAAAACCATAATTGATACGGTAGTCCATAATATTATACGATAAATTTTCTTTGAGGAATAGATGCAATGAAAGACTATATGAGCTGCTATATAATTTTGTAGTGGTGAATGCAATAAGAAATTTACTTTCTCAATTAAACAATGCATAATCACAATGTCACAAGTTGGTGCTATATATGTCTACTGGGTTATTGTTCGAGTTTTAAATCTTTGACTTTTACACAGGTTTCTGAAGGATTGATATAATTCCTTGGACAAACTAACTTAAGTTATTTTAACTTAATGGTTATAAGTTCTAACTCTAAGTAAAAATATTAAAAGAGAGTTTTGTATATAATTTAACTATATTGAAAAATATTGCCTTGTAAAATAAATATATATGTATGATTTTAATCAATAATAATAATAATATGCATTTAAATTAAGACTATGTTAATGTACATATGATCAGAATTGTCCAAAGGTAGGTAATAATATGCGATTAAGGGAAATGGCTAAAAGAGAGATACAAGATATCCTTTCAACATTGTAATACCTAGAGTTGTGTTAGTAATCTGTATCGAATGATTTTTTTCACCAGAAAAAAAATAAGTTCATTCAACCTGATCAATATTAATCAAACTCTTATAATCTTATAATGATAAAACAATATAAAATAAAAGATAAACACTATAATGTACGGTGTCTAATTTTGACAGCGCATAAAATTGAAAACTAAATGCAATGAATTTGATATTGATACATTATCCGTTTAAATTTGGTTTATCATTCATAAATAAAATAATGTCATATGTTTGAAATTTTAGTTGAAATAACAATAAAATATAGTGTTTTAATACATATCATAATATAATATAATATATGCCAGAACAAGTTATTAGACAAGAAAAGTAATTAATAATCTAGTCGTAATGCTATTTTCCTGTTCAAATGAATAGTTTCACGAGAGTATATGAATATTTAGTTATAATCAAAATATATAAATAAATAAATGAATAATACATAACAGATTCTATACATATATAAAAATATATAAATTCTTAACATTTTAGTTATTTTTTATTTTTAAATATTTATATAAGAAATTGTGAAAATAATGTAATAGATTTTATTTTATTTTTTGTGAAAATTTCAATTTTAGAATTGCTTAACCAAATCTTTCTTCTCTAGTCTCTCCTTTTCCCTTTTCTAAGTCATGTTTTCTCTTCTCTGTCTCAAACTCTCCTTAGCCTTCTCTCCTCACCTCCAAGCTCATTTGCCTCCCCTTTTACCCTTAATCTCCAAGCTTCTCTCAGTTTTCTTTTTTCTCTTACTCCAAGCTCCCCTTAGCCCTCCCTCTCTAAGCTCTCACCATTGTGCTCTCCTTAGCCTTAACTCTCACCCACCTTGCTCTCTTTAATCTCCTTCCTCCTCCTACCTTGCTCTCTCCCATCTCCTTTATCAATGTGTTTTTTTTTTTTTTAAATAGTATGATTTGTTTGAGTGAAAACAAAATTAGAGAAAATCTAGATTTTATACTAATTTAAGTTTTATTTATTTTTATGTTATTTACTAATTTTTATTAAATAATTTATTTTTATAATTAACCATTAGATTATATATGTAAAATTTTAAATTATTTGATACTTTATTTATATACATAAAATTAAATTTAATATAATAAATATTTTTAAAATATAGAAAAATAACAACCTTTTAATAACATTTTTATAGTTGTTTAATTTTAATAAAATTTAATATAAACAATCAAGGTAATGTATGATTATAATTCAATAGCTAATAAATAAATAATAATTTTATATTAAATTATTGAGAGCGTAAGAGTGAATGTAATTTACATCAATGCAATTTAATTATTCTATTAATATATGAGTGTGCAGTAAAATAAACAAATTGTAGAAAAATGAATGAGAATAAAATATTAATATCATAAAGGAATTGTTCTCCATATACATTTGAGGTTACATAATCTTTCCATTTGCAATCATCTTTCTAAGTAGTACATGTGTAGAGTTAGTTATGAGTGTTTATTGGATCACTTTGACTAGTTAACCTGATATATCTCAAAACATAAATTACAAGTAAGGTTGGATGATCAAGAAAGATTGAATCCAAAACCTACTTCATCAGTTAAAGTATTAGATTTCAATTTCCTCACTAAAGAAAGCCACACCCACCCAATCACTTAATATTACTCAAGCAATAAAATTAAATTCAACTCATCTTAAGAAAAAACAAAACAAAAGGGAAGAGTTAAAGCCAAGGTTGTGGTTATTTAAGGTTTTTCTCCTATAAAACACAAATCTGTTAAAAAAAAGAATATAAGAAAAGGATCACCGTATATAGTTATAAAGCTATATTGAATGTGAATATTGCACATATACAAGTTTCCTATTTTAATTTTTTTTTATATACTCACATAAAGGTGTCTCTTCCAAGATGTACAAACTTCATTTCCATGATAAAAACTATAACTAATTGCATTTTCTTATGGATTTTTTCTATATATCAATGTCACATCCTATTATTCAAGAAGCGAAGAAGATTCAAATTCATGGCTAAAAGGAGTTGAATTTTTGTGTGTGCAAGGGCATGACGAGCTTACAAAATTTTTTACCAAATGAAGGTATGTCTTGAGATCGTGACACATGGCAACGTCTCCCCTACTGAGATATGGTGATTCCTTGCTACTTAGCCTCAATTCTTGTCCAATGTCAGCATACACCAATTGCATGTCCTCTACGCACGTGTGCAACCATCGTGACAAGATTCCCACGTGGACACCACTGTTGCTTGCCACGTCATCTAAGTTCACTACAAACCCTGGAACCCTAGTCACAACATCATCAGAATTTACTATTCTTAGTATTTTAATCCCACGTTGTTCCAATTGTTTCCTAAAACTCTCGTTTCCGACGCGGGGCCCACCAAAAGACACAACGGTTACCATCGGTGCATCGTTGAAAGTGGCGGTTATATCATACGCGCTCAAGATTGCGAGTGCGGCTCCAAGACTGTGGCCGGTTAGGGTTAAACTGAGTGGCTCGTTGGTGTATGTTTGGATTACTCTTCCAATCTCTTCTCTCACCATTTCTTGCAAGCTTGCATGTGTGGTGGTTTTGGATGTGTAAAGGCTCAAAAACCCTTTTTGCACCATTGGACTAACACTATCTTCTTCTTCTTCTTCTTCTACATGATTTGGCAAGTGTGTTAAGGTGGCACGTAGGTTTTCTAACCACTCCAAACATGTAGCTGTTCCCCTAAAAGCAATCACAATGTCGCGTCTACCAAGTCGAGTAATTTCATTTTTGTGTTCACAAATTGCTACGTACCCAATCCAACAAGATTGTGTACAAGTCCACTTAAACATTTTATTCATCCACGTTGGTATGTGAATTCCACACGTCACACGCAGATTTTTGGTTAACCGATATCCGTAGTTTGCCAAACCACACCGTCTCAAAAGTGATTTTTTAGGGTAAAGACAAGTGGCATAAGTGAGAGAAGAATAATCAAAGTCAAAGGAATAATAGGCAGCATCCACAAAGTGACCGTATCTTAAGATTTCCAAGCGTAGGTTATCATCAAGAGGATCTAGCAAACCTTCCCAATTGTTAATTCCTTGGTATTGCTTCCACTTGTGCCCAAGTTTTGGGAAGTTGCATTTGGCTGAGTTAGGCTTGAGTCGACTCCATGAGAACAAAGACTTGTTGTTGAATTGTGAGCATACGGTGGATTCGGATGAAGAAATCAAAGTAGGGTTGGGTTTGGAAATAGAAGATGATGCAAGTGGTTGGATTGCGGCTGTTTTGATACCAAGCCTCATTATAGAGACTCTATATGGCTATATGGGATCTCCTCCACTTTATTGAAATTTAGGCATTTGCATGCCATTTATATATATATATATATATATATATATATATATATATATATGGGAATACTCAAGAAAGTGGAAGATATTGAGTTAAAAAAATATGGGTTTTTTTAAGTTCAGCACTGTTGAGTTTAAATATCTATAAATTATAAAAAAAAGTATATATTTATTATATTAAGGTTATAAAAATAGAATAAATACATTTATTTTTAATAAAATTTAATTATTATTAACCATGTTAACAAAATTTTGGTACTTATTGTAAATAATCCTATTTGCTGTTTTTTTTAATATATAAATAAATAATATTAAATTTTTATTTACAAAATTATAGTATTTAATATTATTAATGTATTAAATTTTATTTATTTTTATAAAATATTACTATATGTTGATTCTTATACACGTTATGAAAATCGATACATGCATGTGAGTGTGAAAATTTTCATTTTTAGTAATTATTTATTGATGTTTCTCATAATAACAACATTATTTTTAAACTGGGCAAGTGTATTTTGGATGCGATAAATGTGAAGTCTTGGAATTGATTTTCAGTAAGAATAATTGGTGTAAAATGTATTTTTCAAGATTGATGTTGTTCCCCATGGTGCATGTTCTAGCACAATTAGTTTTCGTTTTATAGCTTAACTAATTTTGAGTTATACTAATCTTGTATGTGTGATGAAAGCCTTGTTACTTATATATTTATAATAAATTTTTCTCTTAAAAATAATAAATTTACTATTGTTTCTCTACCAATAGCATAACCTAGATTCACAATCATCTCATTGGACTGGCTCAAATCCTGAAAGATTTTCTTCACATCGTAAAACAACTTCAGCTTTTAATCACTTGAGATACAAAATATTAATTTAATTTGGATATTTTTACGTCCCCTTTAATTTTTTATTATTCTTTTTTTTTCCTATGATGATATATCTTATTTTTCTCCCTTTGCTTCTTCCGTTTTTTTTTAACTCAATGAGTTGCATACAACCCAAATGGCTGAAACTAAGGAGTTGCTACTAATTTTATGGCTGAAACTTTTAGTTTAATTGGCGGGCAGTGATTTTTGCAAGAATAATGAATTGCTACTTTGCAAGGTATACTGTCCTTGATTTAATTTTATGACATTGGATTATTAGTTTCTATCTTTCTAGTGAAAAATTTCATAATTTTATTCAATTTTTGCGTTCTTAATGTTTGAGGTATATATATATTGGACGGATCTTATATTTACATGCCATGAATGATAAAGGGTAAACTAAAATTGTTGAAAAATTTAGGATTTGTAACTTGGTAATCATTACATAAAGATAAGCTTAATTCTCAAGAAAGTACTAGGTTTATAAAGCTGGACGATTCTGACTAACCAATATGAGCTATCTATAATGATGATATCACCTCTCAAACTTATATAGGAACTTTGGAACAACATATTAAATAAATAGTTTTTATTAACTTTCACCCTTAAAATTAAGTTTAAGTACTTATAAATAATATATTTTTATTAAAATATATGATTGATTATATTTTAAAAATAATAAATTTTTTTTAAAAAATCACTTTTACTTAACTATTTATCATCAATATTAAGTATCAAAATTAACATCTTTTTTAAAATAAAATAATTTTTTTTGACATGCGTATACTTAATTGTTAGCCAAATCTGTTTTAGGTAATATATGATTGTATAGTCAATGTCATGATAGTGATTGAAGAGTAGAATGCACATTAATGGAATGGTGTGCGACCAATGCCACTAAAACCCGTGTTTGTGCAATAAAGATGCACCACTTCCTTTTAAAGCCATTCGATCATAGTTTAATAGTACCATATTCCATACACGACTGTTTCTTCATATACAGCACTTTCAAGGGGAATATTGACCTTCGCTTCAACGTCAAAAACTAATCCTCACATTTTCTTCCATAAAGAACCGGTTGGTAACACGTGTAATTTATAAATAAATAAAGTATTTTATTAACTTTACTACGATAAGTAGCTAATAATAATAAAATTTTATTAAAAAAAATATTTATTGTAATTTTATAACTTTAATATAATTTTTTTTATAAGCAACTTTAATATAATAACTGTATATTTTTTTTATAAAATTTTTTTATCTATAAATATTTAGAATCAGTCCTAAAGATTGAGGTTAACAGAACTTATAAATAAATTACTTCTATAATTTTTTTCTAAGAGAATTACTTTTATATAGAACTTGTGCGAGATAGTGGAGGGAATTTGCTGTTAGGATTTAGCAAAAAAATTAGTCCTATTTCACCTTTGGAAGCTAAACTTTGGGCCCTCTATTTTGGCATTATTCAACTAATTGTAAAGAAAGATTTTTATTGGGTTTGGATTGAGAGCAACTGTAAACAAGTTATTCACCTTATTCAGCAAGTTCAGCTTCCTTTCCATCCACTGTTCAAGTTGATATAGGATATTAGGAACAGTCTTCACCCCATCAAATGTATCAGACTTTGGTATATTTGTAGAGATACTAATGTCTATGCTGACAGCCTAACTAAGGTTAGTTTAGAGGATTATGTGTACCCTTCAGAGTTTGAACCTGCCCTTAGGGCCGTTCTTAACCTTTTTAAGACCTAGGCAAAATAAAAAATTAGAACCCTTTAAAAAAATTATAAAATATAATAAACAAAATAAAATTATATATTAATAATTTTATTAAAATAATACTTTTTCTTAAATAACTATAATTTTTTCTAATAAAATTATTAAAAAAAAATATTATTTCATTCAACCAACTCTTATGTTATAATTAACTACCAAAATACAGAAGATCATAAAAAATGAGTTCTACGAGCATTCTGAGATGCAAAATCATCAATGATAACATTAACATTAATGTTTTTAAAAAATTCTATATCGATTGATAAAATTGTGAGACCATTCAACGGTTCTTGTAACATTGATGACCTTAGGTAGGTTTTGATTAACTTTAACTTTAAAAAACTTCTTTCAATTGATGATATAGTCATTGGAACCGTAAAAAAAGTTCTATAATTGATTAAAATATTTAAATAACAATCTGCAAATTTAACAAACTCAATAACTATTAAATTTTTTGAAAAAAACTAAAATTTTCCATGAGATTTAATGTTAAGAATAGTAAAATTTTAGAATTAAATGAAGTTTTGAATCTACAAAGGTCAATGAGTCGACTACATTTATAACAAGTGAGGTGCAAAAAATTAAAAAGTTTTTTTGTTTTTCTATTTTTTCCAACTACAAACTATAAGAGTTGAAATTTTTTTCAAGTAAAAGTAGGACACAATTTTTACTTTGCGCCCTCTTTTAAGCTTGGACCTTAGGCGATCGCACCTCTAAACTACCCTCAAAATCGGGTCTGCCTGCCCTTTAGAGTCTCCTCCCTTTTCTTTGTATGGATTCTCTTAGTATAAGGCTCCCTAGAAACTCTTTGTAGTTTGGTGTTGTTTTGGCTTTTAGCCCTTCTTTTTAGCAATATATATATATATATATATATAAGAAATTACTTCTTATTTTTTTTAGTTGACTAAAAATAATGAATAAAAAATATGAGAAACTATTTTGAATAATTTAAAAAATTATAATTATAATAAATTCTTAAAATAAAAATACTTTTTATGATTGTAATGACCTAAAAAGCAACTGGGCAATTACAAAAAAAATCTTTAAAAAAAAGTCCATTTTATATATTTCTATTTTTATCTTGTCTAATTAAGATGTTAAAAATATTATTTTTTTATAAACAATATTTCTATTTTTAGGAAAAACTGAAACAAACTTACCCATTAATTTTAGGTAATGACAAAAAGTATGTTTTTCAGATGTATGCATAATCACCGGCAGGCCAAAGTTTGTTTTTCATATCGATTGCTCATTATAATTTTATTTTATTTGAATATGAATATTTCCTAAGAGTGTCCATAAATTGTGTTGGATGGTTTTTGACATAAAAAATTGACATTAAAATTTTACGAGTTGAGTTGGATAGATTTAAATAAAATATATATATATCTTTACCTGATCCGAACTGACTCAATCAAAAATAAGTTAGATATTAATTTAACATTTACATCATTGTATAAAAAAATTAAAATTATATATATGATTAATGACTTAATCTTAATATTTTAAATAATAAATCTATCAAAACTAAATGAGAAATAATTCATTTTAAAATATAATATAATACTAAGAATTTAATATTTATTTAGAATAAAGAATTAAAATAATGCTAAGTAAAAAATAAACTTTGACAATCTCTTATAAATTATAAAATTTAATATTTAATATTTATTTCACAACTTAAAGTAATACATAATATTTAAAAATTAAAAAATTAAATTATTTATTAATATTAAATTATTCACTTCAAACAAGTTGAAAAAAAATTTAAAATAGTATATAATTAATTAAAAAAAACTTATATGTGATAAATTATTAGGTATAGTAAGTTATATTTTAACACTACAAACTTACCATCGAATCTGTAATTCGTTGAGTTCTAATATTTTTATTCAAATTAACTTATTTATTCGAACCAATTTATTAATTTTTAATTAATTTGAATTGGGTTAGTTAAGTTCATCGAGTCAACAAATCTCGTGATATTATATTACTTAAAAAATGGGATTTAAAAAAACTTGATTTTGCATATTTAAGATTATTTATAAGTAATATTACCATAAGTTATTAAAATAATATCTTTTATTTTAACTAAAGTATTACAAAAAAAATGTCTAAAAACTTATTATTATTCTTGTTAATGGTTGCAATTGAAGCCTCATCGTCTTATCGGTTCTTGAAAATGGGAACAACTGTGTGCTTTTTTGGAGATGTTATCCCTCAATGCCTTGTCATTTTCACGACCTCTACACCTATTTCAACACATGTTTCATTAGCTATGGGTCTTTAGCAAAATGGTGTATAACTAT